AAGTGAACCTAAAAATCAAATGAATAAAAAACCTGATGAACAGAACAGACTGGTGAATGTAATAGAATCAGGGGCACGGAAAGGGTTGTGGGGGGTGTGGGAAGAGATTGAACAAAGAGCTTACATCTATGGATAAGTTGGGCAGAGGGAAGGCCTGGAGTGGGGTGGGAACCTGGTGGAGGGGAGCTATGGGGGGGAGGGGGAAGAGGAACATCTGTAATAATCTGAACAATAAAGATTTAAAAATGAATAAATAAAAAATAAAAATTTGTGAATACAGTTCCAGAATATCAAGCATACCTATCAAAGCGTGGAGGGGATGAAGTAGTTTTAAGTAATGTTGTGGCTAATTGTTGCTGTAAATGACAGGTCCCTGCATATTAGCTTTGGAAGCAATAGTAGATATTATTTCATCTGTAATAATCTGAACAATAAAGATTTAAAAATGAATAAATAAAAAATAAAAATTTGTGAATACAGTTCCAGAATATCAAGCATACCTATCAAAGCGTGGAGGGGATGAAGTAGTTTTAAGTAATGTTGTGGCTAATTGTTGCTGTAAATGACAGGTCCCTGCATATTAGCTTTGGAAGCAATAGTAGATATTATTTCAAAACCAACAGTCTAGCCCTAACCAGTTTGGCTCAGTGGATAGAGCGTGGGCCTGCGAACTGAAGAGTCCGGGGTTCGATTCCGGTCAAGGGCATGTACCTTGGTTGTGGGCACATCCCCAGTGGGGGTTGTGCAGGAGGCAGCTGATGGATATTTCTCTCTCATTGATGTTTCTAACTCTCTCTCTCCCTTCCTCTCTGTAAAAAATCAATGAAATATTTAAAACAAAACAAAACAAACAAAAAACCCCAACAGTCTAGGATATGCGGTTGCATGTTTTGTTAAGCAACTCAGCAGTGTTAAAGCAGGTGCCTGCTCTCGTGTCGTTCTGGTCTGCTATCTTTACTGTGTTGACAGTACCTCTTCTCATAGTTGCAGAATAGCTACTGTGGCCCCGCACCACATCCTCACCAAAAGCATCCGAAAAGGAAAGAAGAGGGAGGACAAAAGAGCTCTCTTCATGGTCTGGGTTAGACCCAAAAAGTCTTGCCCAAGTTGGAGAAAAAGCATAAAGAACCCCTTGAACTCAGATCAAGTTTGTTTTTACTTGGATTTACTCCAGAAGCACCTAGTAAACCATACAAAGGCTGTTGCTTTGGGTCTAAAACAGTGATGGCGAACCTATGACACGTGTGTCAGAGGTGACACGTGAACTCATTTTTTTGGTTGATTTTTCTTTGTTAAATGGCATTTAAATATATAAAATAAATATCAAAAATATAAGTCTTTGTTTTACTATGGTTGCAAATATCAAAAAATTTCTATATGTGACATGGCACCAGAGTTAAGTTAGGGTTTTTCAAAATGCTGACACGCCGAGCTCAAAAGGTTCGCCATCACTGCTCTAAAATGTGGTGTGTGCCTTTGCCCCTCACAGAGGGAGTCCTGAAGGTCACTCATGCTGAGATAGGCCCCGTAGTGTTGTGTCAGCCTAGAACACTATTTTGCATCCACTGCGTTTGATAACAACAGCCACTTCAGTGTACAAACAACTTAAAAAGCAACCCAGACAATAGTGTGCAACCCATCCTCCATGCACTTGCCTCTAATGACTAAATTTGAAGCCTTGGAATGTTTGCAGGGTCTGCATGGGAATATCTTCCCTATCTGTGGGGCCAGCTCACTCTCTTGGCTAGAAGTTCAACCCTTGAAAGCTGAACAGCAGGTGGGCTGGGGAAAGGGGAGTGAAGACTTTGATCACAAGAAACAATAAATGCAAAGGTATGTTGGTGCAACACAGTATAATCTGTTCAGGGCATCGCCAGTGACCTGCAGTGGCTGGAGTACAGGCCTGAGGAGGGAGTGGGGGAACGTAAGACTGAGAGGGAGCCAGGGGCCAATGGCATACACCGAGATTGATAGAGGTAAACACAATGTGCCATGAGAGCCCAGAGGAGGGTGACGGGCCGAGAAGGGCTTCCCGAAGTCTTGGATCTGAGTCCAGCACAGACCTGGTGTTCAGCCAGGGCCAAGGGACAGGGTTGTGCAGGTGAGTTATGCCTATGCCACCTCCATCATGGAATACTGTGACTATTGCCTCTACTCTAGACGGATTCCCTGGCAGAGAAGGCACATGGGCTTTCCAGAGAGAGCTAATACAAAGGCCACCAGAGAAGAGAGAGATGAGGATGAGGGATGAGGCCAGAGCATGACGGGCCTTCTGCGGCAGGCAAGGCATTTACACTCATCCTGCAGGCCGCAAAGGGAGGAGCCAACCCCTCCAGCTCAGAGATGCACCTGCAAAACTAAACCCCTGTTCAGCCCTCCCACAGACCCCGGCACTTCTTAAGGGCAGGACACTGAGAATGTAGAAGCCTGATGGTGAGACAAAAGACCTGGCAGAAGTAACTGTTGGTGTTTTATTTCTTTTTTAAAAAAGAGAAAAAATAGATGAGGGAGGAAATAAAGAAAGGAAGAAGGGAAGGAAGGCGAGGGGGAATAAGAAAGGGAGGAAAGAAAAATATAAAGGAAAGAAAAAAATGATCAAGAGCAAAGTAAAAACAAATGTGGTGACAGACTTGGAAAGGCTGGAGAGTGGCTTCAGAGATCCTACTCGTCACCATGGTTACTGATTTGTTGTATGCTTCCCCATTTTGCTTGAGATATTTCATTTTCTAAAAGAAAAATGAACATAGGTGGAAATGTAAATAGACATGATCTTTTTGAAAAGATAGTTAAGTGATCAAAAGACCCAAAATGTTCATTTTTGACTCAATAATTCCATGCCAGGACATGCCTGGATTGATGTATAAGAAATCTATTTTCATCGCCTCAAGTGCAGTGACCACTCCTCACCTGGCAGGCGGTGGGGGCGCTACATCGACTTCCCAAATCACAGAAAGCTGTTTTAAGGGAGGCCTTTCCAAGTATGCCATACCTGCTCTGGTGCAATGAGGAGTATTCTTAACACACTGACCTCTTCTTGATAATTCTTATTATGATTAACAATCGAAGTCGTGTGAATAGATTCATTGACCCAAGAAGCTGCTGAGGTGCGAGGCCCTTGCCCTGGAGAGCACATCCCCTCGGCCTCCTGTTCTCTCCTTCCCTGCAGTCGGCTGCCGTGTCTCTCTTCCCCTCACCTCTCACTAGATATTGCCCATCTAACCCGAATAAAACCAAACCAGACAACCAGGTGTGTCCACAGGCTGTCTAAGGTAAGTTATGTCTGAACGAGGGCTGGAGGGATGCCTCCAACCTCCGGGGAACTTGACAGAAATGCTCTCCTGGTTCCACCCCAATCCTTCCTAACAGAACCTCTCAGCCCACAAGCTGATTCTCATTGTTTAAATGTGAGAATCACCATCACACAGACTCTCCTACAAAATACCCATGAGCTCGAGGCCACAGAGAGCCATCCGGCTGCTGCCAAGGCAGGCCTGTGCCCTGTGCCATGCCCGGTCTCCATATTCCAAGTATCATGCGGGCTCACTGACTTCCAGTGTTTGAACTTGGATCACTTGGGTGGGTGGGGTAGAGGAGGGGAGAGTGACTTCCCCGCCACTGTCTTTAGGTGAGCGAGATTTCTGATGACTGCCCTGAGTAATTAACATCACCTGGTCTTAGGGCCTGGGGAGGAATAGGGTAATAGTTATCCATATTTTCCAAATATGAGACTGTCTGCACAGACTAATTGACTTTTACAAAATAACACAATGTTGACCATTTACCAGAGATAAATTAAAGTGGCTATACCCTTTTATGATATCCCTTTTGGAACATTTAATAGTTTATATGATGCTCAACTAAAATAAATTTCAACATATTTACTACATGCAGTTTTAATTATTTTAAATTATTACTTTGTTCACATTTTATAAGTATGTCTACTGCTTCTTCCCCTTAAAGAGATTTGCAGATTATCATGCATTTTAAGTGACAAGCCTCCAGATGCCATAGATGGTGATGGTCAACTAGGACACTCACTAAAAGGCTCATCAAACATGAGTACCATTCTTAGATGTCTATTAGTACCAGTTACAGCCTCACACAACAACAAAATACTCCAGAGTGAAAATACTCATATATTTGTATAATGCAAAGAGAAATACAGATATAAATCCTCAACACAGAAGGAACATTAAAAAAAGGTAGCATTATAAGCAAAATTATGTAGTACTTGCAGAATTTAGTCTTTCAATGTAAGATTACAATGTGTCTAACAAAGAAATACTATTTAAAATTATAGTTCTCATTAGTACTTTAAAATAACTGTCAGTAGAACAGCACAGCTTAACCTAGCAAACATTTTAAGGAAACATTTGTCTCCTAGAAGTAGAGTATCATTATATGCCATTCATTTATACCATGAACAAAAGAACAATTTTCAAAGTGGAAATTCATAAGCCAGAATAAAACTGGACTCCTCAAAGCACAAGCTGTTTCCATAAAATTGTTTTAATTTTCATTGGCAAAAAAATAGCTAAACAATTTTGATTTTGTACTCTGCTTCTTGGAGCCCCTGCCCCCATCAGTGAACCACAGCAGTACATACAGAAACATGCAATACTGTATTTTCTCCACCATCACTAACCAAAACACCTTTTAACTTTTGAAAGCTACAGTTTCACAGAAATATTTCCAGTCAAGATTGGTACCATGCAGAGAGCAGCTGCCACTGGCCTGCATTTTCCAGGAGTATACACCAACCGGAAACCACCCCTCCTCACTGCCTGACATACAGCTGCCTGCTCGTCACTCCCGCTGCTGCTCTTTAAATTCATTTTCAATACCGAACAGAGTTTTCAACACTTTCCAAGAACCAGAGCAGCACAACTGACCCACTCCACAGCTGGCAATTCAGAGGGAACTGGACAA